AACAACTATTTTTGGTTTAATAAAGAATGTTATCTGCAAATCAAGGGAATAGCTATGGGGGCAAAATTTTCCCCAGTCTTGCGAACCTCTTTATGGCCCACTGGGAAGAGAACCTAATATATGCAAGAGAATGGCCGCAATTGCTACTATACAAAAGATATATAGATGGCATTTTCCTTCTATGGAATGGAGAAGAGCAATCACTAATTAATTTCTTTTGCACCTTAAACAATAATGATCTCAACATTAGCCTTACCTACACCTATAGTAGACAAGAAATTAATTTCCTTAACTTGACCCTTATAAATTTAAACGGGAAAATTATCACTAAATCATACTTCAAAAATACTGACCGTAACAGTTATATTCCTGTTGACAGTTGCCACCACCCATCTTGGTTGGCAAACATAGCAAAGGGTCAATTCATGAGGATAAGAAGAAACTGCACAGACTTGGACACCTATCACTCACAGGCTATGATCCTAAAGAACAGATTTCTTGAGAAAGGCTATAACGCAACAACAATAAAAAACACCCTTTATGCTGTAGCAAACCTAAACAGAGATGAAATGCTCACAAGTGGTGAAAGACCAGTACAAACTAGGATTTGCCCCTTTGTTACCACTTATTCTATACAACATTGGGCAATTAGCGGGATTATCAAAAAGAATTGGAGCATTCTAAAAAACGGACCCCATTCTATCAAACATTTTACCTGATAAAGCCGAGATTATTTTTCGCAAAGCTACAGCCATAAGACACAAACTAGCACCTAATGTTGTGGTCCACCTAAGAATATCTCACAATTTTCAGACTTAAAAGGTTTCCATCCATGCAACAGATGTGTCATCTGCAAATGTAACAACATTAGGAAGCAGAGAATTGAGTCGTTCTCTTCCAACTCAACGGGTAGATCATATGTCATTAAGAATTTTATTTCTTGTAATAGTAGATACGTGGTGTATATGCTTGAATGCCCCTGCCATAAACAATATGTGGGCCGGACAACTAGGAGATTAAGAGACCGCCTCTGGGAACACGTTTATAATGTCAAAAGAGGTTTCAAGGAACATTCACTGTCAAAGCACTATAGGTTGTGCCACAACAAGGATCCTACCTCCCTAAAGTTTGTAGGAATTGATATCGTTACTTCACACTGGAGAGGCACATACAAAAAACGCGCTGTTTCACAGTTGGAGACCAAATGGGTCTTCGAATTAGACACTTTACATCCCCGAGGGCATAATATAGAAGTTGATGTGAATTGTTTCATAGACAATAGTTACATTTCTTGGCCTCTAATGTTCCTTAGTTCTACATATTAACCCGTTTTTATAACTTGTACCTATTTTGAGGATTCCTACCCATTGTTTATGTCTATCCTATTCTATATCATTCACGTTACTATACTAGACTTTTTAACACACATTTTCACACAGTAACCATATTAACTATTTGGATCTGTATTGTTTCTTACATTATTTTATATATTTATTTTATTATGTATATTCTATTCTATTATCAATATATTTGTTAATTTATCATGATTTTATATTTTGACACTGATTTTGCTATGGATTGTCATTTTATTTTCACTATCAAATTTTTTTATGGATACCGGACTTTTTAGAGATGCCTAAACATTTTTTATCTAATTTTCAATCAAGATCTACGGTTTCCATATATGTTTTTCCTTTGCACATTAATATAATAATTTTACTATATTAATTTTTACAACACCATGTGTCACGTTTGTCAAATAGTGACTGGGTTTCTTATTTATCCCATATCATGTGTTTTTATATTTTTCATAATTTCCACCCACATGATTTTTAATAACTTATGATACCTTTATTTTACTTTATGATATGCAGCACTCTGTATCCGCTGTGATATCACCAATATTGTCTAATGACCTTGCCATATATTTACATTCCCCCCCTTGGTATGTAAGGCCTCCGTGTATTGGAGAAATCATCCTCTTATGTATTAATTTTCAGGTCTCCAAGACTTTTTTCCATCACTATTATGTCCCTAACAGCTTCATACCTGTTACTGTGACCTCGATCCACGGCAAAATGGTGTCTACATGACGCGCATGAGCACAAAATGGTGGCGATGTAGTGCGCATGCGCCATTTACCCTATATAAGGAATTGACGTCCGTCACAGCAGTGTTGGCCTCCCCTCTGATGAAGTGCGGTTGCACGAAAAGCTTTAGGAAGGAGGAACCAACGCGCTGTGACGTCACGCCAGGTCAGGTGGCCATCTTTGATATCGGTCAGTGATGCGTTCACTCTACATTACTGTTAACCCTGCATACCCTATTTGTGGAATAAAGTCTTTTAAAGTTACTTCACTATGGGCACTTCTGTGGCTCCTTTATGGAGCTATTAGTTACAGAGCCTGCAGATGAATCTCACCTATCCAGCACCCAGAGGAGGGAATCCCTGTAACCAGGCTGAGCACCCATCCATCCTAAAGGGGACCTCTGGATGAGCAGATTCCACTTAAATCCTAAGGCCCACTGCTGTGCCATTCCACATCTAGGAGAAAGTTCACCAGATGCCTGATATACTCTGCCTCCCTAAGAGATCCTTGATGGTTATTTGTATATGCGCATACCCTATGCGCTTCTGGTGAGTGCACATTCTTACCGTTACATACAGGCACAAGCATTTGAATTCTGCTTTTATTTTGATTATCCACCATCCATTACTATTTATGAACTTTTATGAAATTATACTGCTGTTTTTACCAGCACTGCACTCCATTTATTCAAAGCAAGGTCCATAAAGACATGGTTGAGCGAGTTTGGGGTGGAGGGACTTGACTGACCTGCAGAGTGTCCTGACCTCAACTTGACAGAACACCTTTGAGATGAATTACAGCGGAGATTGTGAGCTAGGCCTTCTCATCCAAAATCAGTGCCTAACCTCACAAATGCGCTTCTGCAAGTATGGTCAAAAATTCCCATAGACGCACTCCTAAACCTTGTGGACAGCCTTCCTAGAAGAGTTGAAGCTGTTATAGCTGCAAAGGATGGGCCAACTTACTATTGAACACTACGGACTAAGACTGGGATGCCATTAAAGTTCATGTGCGTGTATACTTTTGGCAATATAGTGTATAGTTTTGGTAAATTGAAAGAAGATCGTACAGAGATTGTACAATCAGATTGTATAGTGTATGGCTGCCTTTATACAACTGAATTGAACTAGTTGAGCTTTAATTGCTATTAATTGTTAATGGCACCCCAAACGCAGAAGCAAACACACATTTTGCCATGTGAAAAAATGCAGCAAATTGCACAGTAAAAAATGTACAAACCACAACACGCAAAATGTCCCATGAGCTACTTTGTCACGTGTAAGGTAGCCCATTGAAATTATTAATATGCGTGTCACGGCAAAAATTAACCAAGAACTGAGTGCTCCCATTATGCTAGATGTAAAGGGGGCCTAATAGTGAAATTGGTGTGTTTACACAAGAACACTAAGGCTCCATTCATATCTACGTTTCTGAATGTACAGAAAACACATGCTTTGCTACGCATTCTGGAAACACACTGCAAATGCGCATCGCATGCAGTGCAATTAAATGTTAATAACACTCCAAGTGTGGGTAGCAAGTGCACGTCTGCTGTGTGACAAACGAGCTGCAAATGCACAAAAGAGTGTGGTAAGAAACATGCCACACTCCATTCTAAAAAAAGTTCTCAAGCTTCTTTGGGGCACTTGTCACCCATTCACTAGAATGGCCTGCCCTATGCATGAAGAGCGCAAACTATACAACCGGGGCCTGACAGCTAAGTGTCTCCATTCACTCTCTCCTATGTACTTGTATAAAGATGGCCATACACTATGCCATCAAATTGTACAATCTCTGTGCAATTTCCTTTAGATTTGTGAAAACTATGGAATAGGAGGAACCATCTGAACAATCCATTTAATTTGTATCAAATAAGACTGGTTCTTGCACTCCACAGCTGATGGTAGATCTAAAGAAGACTGTACAATCAGGTTGCACAGAAAGTGGGTGGAAATAAAACAAGAGTTGGTATAGTAATGAGGGAGGTGTGGTCCTAACTGGTAATACACGCCTATTCTGTGATGCAGTATGCCAGTGCATGATGGAAGATGACCTACAGGCAGTGATGCAAACAGAAAGTATTTGTTAGCCACTTGACCGTCCAAAGTTCATTTACTGTGGGCGGCCAGTTACTCCAGGCTACGCAATGTACTGAAACATCACTCAGAACATGCACACTGGTGCGCCCCTGGGGTATGCAGCAGCGTGATCCCATGACTGCTGTGTGCAGACTGCTGTGAGTGGCCAAGGGTATCATGTGATCATTATGACCAAGCATAGCAATCACATTATTACATGACATGCCAGAAAAAACTGTCATGAATGGCTCCAATTCATGGCAGCTTCCGTACTATTGTGATGCTGTGATTGGTCCACAGCTATCACACCTGGCACCCTGTACAATGTGATTAGCTATATCCCATCACAGCATCAGAGTAGTAAGCAGGATGTCAAGAATGAAATCCATTAATGACAGTTAAAACTATTGCTTATACACATATATATTATATTGCTTATTACTATTTGTTTGTACATACTGTCAGTGACACAGTACTACTCTGGGGTGGGTGATCAGGGATTTTTTTTACACTGTTATTGTTTATAACAGTGATGAATATTGTAATAAGCAACAACAGTGTAAAAACATCCCTCATCACCCCCCCCCCCCCCAGAGTAGTACAGTGACACTATGGTGTGACACTGTACTACTCTGGGGGAATCAGAGATTTTTTTTTATTACACAGTTATTTTTAATAACAATGATCATCACTGTTATAAGTAGAGATGAGCGAAGTATTCAAAAATTCGATTCGACTGATTCGGCGAATTCGTGGAAAAATTTCGATTCGAGTCGAATATATTCCTGTGAATTTAACTTAAAAAATGGTTTCTCTAGGCTTCAGAGAGACTTAATATTAGTGCTGAACACTGTACCTTTAATTTAAATGCCCTTGGAGTCTGCTGGGGAAGAGAAAATAATACTGTCAGTCAGTATGACATGCAGATGAGTGCCGTCGATCTTAGAATCACCGCACACTTCACTCATTTGGGCAGTCACGGGGCCAAAACCAGAGTGTGGAGCCACAGTGTGGCGGTGGAGGCAGCAGCAATGGGAGGCCATACAGCACCCTATGACAAAAATGGAAACCACCAGCAGTGTGAGGAGACCTGAAAGTGGCACATGGCAGAGTGTGGCGATAGAGACAGCAGCAATGGGAGGCCGTACAGGGACCCATGACACACTCTGGACCTGGCAGCAGCATGAGGAGGCGGTACAGGGGCCCATGGCAGATTACGGGCCTGGCAGCAGCATGAGGAGTCGGTACGGGGGCCCATGGCAGATTACGGGCCTGGCAGCAGCAATGGGAGGCGGTACAGGGACCCATGACACACTCTGGACCTGGTAGCAGCATGGGGAGGCGGTACAGGGGCCCATGACAGATTACGGGCCTGGCAGCAGCATGAGGAGTCGGTACGGGGGCCCATGACACACTCTGGACCTGGCAGCAGCATGAGGAGGCGGTACAGGGGCGCATGACAGATTACGAGCCTGGCAGCAGCAACTTGGACAGGAGGACGTTCAGCTTCTGCACTGTCTGGTGCGTGCTCGCAAACTGTTGTCTCTTGGAAACGGATTCCAAGAAAAGACTGCTGATGGAATCCGTGAAGAGGAGTAGCAGGAGAAGGAGCATCTGAACGAGCGGAATATGCCAACAAGCGACAACAGGGGCCCATGACAGATTACGGGCCTGGCAGCAGCTATGAGGAGTCGGTATGGGGGCCCATGGCAGATTAGGGGCCTGGCAGCAGCTATGGGAGGCCCGTAATCTGCCAGCACCCTATGACAAAAAATGGAACCCACCAGCAGTGTGAGGAGACCTGAAAGTGGCACATGGCAGAGTGTGGCGATGGAGACAGCAGCAATGGGAAGGCCGTACAGGGACCCATGAGAGACTCTGGACCTGGCAGCAGCATTGAGGAGGCGGTATAGGGGCCCATGGCAGATTAGGGGCCTGGCAGCAGCTATGGGAGGCCCGTAATCTGCCAGCACCCTATGACAAAAAAATGGAATACACCAGCAGTGTGAGGAGACCTGAAAGTGGCACATGGCAGAGTGTGGCGATGGAGACAGCAGCAATGGGAGGCCGTACAGGGACCCATGAGAGACTCTGGACTTGGCAGCAGCATGAGGAGGCAGTATAGGGGCCCATGGCAGATTAGGGGCCTGGCAGCAGCTATGGGAGGACCCGTAATCTGCCAGCACCCTATGACAAAAAATGTAACACACCAGCAGTGTGAGGAGACCTGAAAGTGGCACATGTTTGGGGCATGATTCATGGCGGATTTAGTCAGTTGTGTCAGGAACTGGTGGTTTGAAATCCAGACTAATCCACGCCTGATTCATTTTCACAAACGTCAGTCTCTCCACACTTTGGGTGACAGTTGTGTCCTCCGCGGAGTTGCAATACCTCCTGCCGCACTAAACACGCGCTCCGATGCCATGCTACTGGCCGGGGCATGACAGCCTTTCAAGGGCAAATTCAGCTAGTTGGGGCCAAAGGTCAAGTTTCGTTGCCCAGTAGTCAAGGGGATTGTCTACCTCGGTTGGCAGGGTGCTGTCCAAGTAGGCCTAAGCCTGTTGTTTGAGGTCCTGCTCCAGGTCCACCTGATGCTGCTGCTGCTGCGGCTGGTTAGTAGTTTCCTCACTGCGCTGGTGAAGAAAGCTACTCATCATCGACTGCAGACTGAGGCAGCCGCTGCTGGTGGAGCTGCCACTGCTCCTACCACCCCACCCTCCCCTGCTGCCATGGCAGCGGAACGCGAGCGCACAGGGCCCACAGTGTCTGAGGATGGACGTTGGCGCAGACAGGCAGAGACCAGCTGACTACATAGGTGGTTTTTATAGTACGTTATTTTGGCCTCCCTCTCAGCAGGTGTGAAAAAGGCCACCATTTTTGAACGGTAGCGAGGGTCCAACAAGGTGGACAGCCAAAAGTCATCCCTCTGTCTGATGGTTATTATTCGGCTGTCGCTACGCAAGCAACCGAGCATGCTATGGGCCATTTGTGCCAAGGAATGCGAGGGACTCCCTGCCTCCATCTCCACAGCATACTGCCACGGTGCGTCTGGGTCCTCTGTCTCCTCCTCCTCCTCCTCCTCTACCAGATGCTCCTGCTCCTCCACTCCTGTCCGCTGAGTGGAAAAACCACCCATTTCACTCAATAATTCCTGAGCACCAATGTCCTCCTCTACCTCCTCCTCTTCTTCCTGTCCTGCCCCCACAGGGGTCATGTGGCGTTGAGATCTGTGCGCCACGTCTACCGCACCCTGACCAGCCATTGTTAACAGCATTTGTTCCAGGACGTGCAACAGAGGAATGACGTCGTTCATCCCATAGTCCTGCCGACTCACGAATAGCGTGGCCTCCTCAAAGGGCCTGAGCAAGCGCAGGTGTCACGCATGAGCTGCCAATGGCTGACATCTAAGTTACACAGGGAGTACCTTTATCCGCTTTTAACATCAGGAAATCTGTGATGGCCTTTTGCTGTTCGTAAAGGCGGTCTAAAATATGTAGGGTTGAATTCCACCTTGTTGCAACGTCACAGCATGAGGAGTCGGTATAGGGGCCCATGGCAGATTAGGGGCCTGGCAGCAGCTATGGGAGGCCCGTAATCTGCCAGCACCCTATGTCAAAAAATTCAACACACAGCAGTGTGAGGAGACCTGAAAGTGGCACATGGCATGAGAGACTGTGGACCTGGCAGCAACATGAGGAGGCGGTATAGGGGCCCATGACAGACTCAGGACTTGGCAGCAGCATGAGGAGGCGGTATATAGGGGCCTATGGCAGATTAGGGGCCTGGCAGCAGCTATAGGAGGCCCGTAATCTGCCAGCACCCTATGTCAAAAAATTCAACACACCAGCAGTGTGTGAGGAGACCTGAAAGTGGCACATGGCACATGGCATGAGACACTGTGGACCTGGCTAGCAGCATGAGGAGGCGGTATATAGGGGCCCATGGCAGATTAGGGGCCTGGCAGCAGCTATGGGAGGCCCGTAATCTGCCAGCACCCTATGTCAAAAAATTCTACACACCAGCAGTGTGTGAGGAGACCTGAAAGTGGCACATGGCAGAGTGTGGCGATGGAGACAGCAGCAATGGGAGGCCGTACAGGGACCCATGAGAGACTCTGGACTTGGCAGCAGCATGAGGAGGCGGTATAGGGGCCCATGGCAGATTAGGGGCCTGGCAGCAGCAATGGGAGGCCCGTAATCTGCCAGCACCCTATGTCAAAAAATTCTACACACCAGCAGTGTGTGAGGAGACCTGAAAGTGGCACATGGCAGAGTGTGTGGCGATGGAGACAGCAGCAATGGGAGGCCGTACAGGACCCATGAGAGACTCTGGACTTGGCAGCAGCATGAGGAGGCGGTATAGGGGCCCATGGCAGATTAGGGGCCTGGCAGCAGCAATGGGAGGCCCGTAATCTGCCAGCACCCTATGTCAAAAAAATTCTACACACCAGCAGTGTGTGAGGAGACCTGAAAGTGGCACATGGCAGAGTGTGGCGATGGAGACAGCAGCAATGGGAGGCCGTACAGGGACCCATGAGAGACTCTGGACCTGGCAGCAGCATGAGGAGGCGGTATATAGGGGCCTATGGCAGATTAGGGGCCTGGCAGCAGCTATAGGAGGCCCGTAATCTGCCAGCACCCTATGTCAAAAAATTCTACACACCAGCAGTGTGAGGAGACCTGAAAGTGGCACATGGCAGAGTGTGGCGATGGAGACAGCAGCAATGGGAGGCCGTACAGGGAACCATGAGAGACTCTGGACCTGGCAGCAGCATGAGGAGGCGGTATATAGGGGCCTATGCAGATTAGGGGCCTGGCAGCAGCTATAGGAGGCCCATAATCTGCCAGCACCCTATGTCAAAAAATTCAACACACCAGCAGTGTGAGGAGACCTGAAAGTGGCACATGGCATGAGACACTGTGGACCTGGCAGCAGCATGAGGAGGCGGTATATAGGGCCCATGGCAGATTAGGGGCCTGGCAGCAGCTATGGGAGGCCCGTAATCTGCCAGCACCCTATGTCAAAAAATTCTACACACCAGCAGTGTGTGAGGAGACCTGAAAGTGGCACATGGCAGAGTGTGGCGATGGAGACAGCAGCAATGGGAGGCCGTACAGGGACCCATGAGAGACTCTGGGACTTGGCAGCAGCATGAGGAGGCGGTTATAGGGGCCCATGGCAGATTAGGGGCCTGGCAGCAGCAATGGGAGGCCCGTAATCTGCCAGCACCCTATGTCAAAAAATTCTACACACCAGCAGTGTGTGAGGAGACCTGAAAGTGGCACATGGCAGAGTGTGGCGATGGAGACAGCAGCAATGGGAGGCCGTACAGGGACCCATGAGAGACTCTGGACCTGGCAGCAGCATGAGGAGGCGGTATATAGGGGCTATGGCAGATTAGGGGCCTGGCAGCAGCTATAGGAGGCCCGTAATCTGCCAGCACCCTATGTCAAAAAATTCAACACACCAGCAGTGTGAGGAGACCTGAAAGTGGCACATGGCATGAGACACTGTGGACCTGGCAGCAGCATGAGGAGGCGGTATATAGGGGCCCATGGCAGATTAGGGGCCTGGCAGCAGCTATGGGAGGCCCGTAATCTGACAGCACCCTATGTCAAAAAATTCTACACCCCAGCAGTGTGTGAGGAGACCTGAAAGTGGCACATGGCAGAGTGTGGCGATGGAGACAGCAGCAATGGGAGGCCGTACAGGGAACCATGAGAGACTCTGGACCTGGCAGCAGCATGAGGGAGGCGGTATATAGGGGCCTATGGCAGATTAGGGGCCTGGCAGCAGCTATAGGAGGCCCATAATCTGCCAGCACCCTATGTCAAAAAATTCAACACACCAGCAGTGTGAGGAGACCTGAAAGTGGCACATGGCATGAGACACTGTGGACCTGGCAGCAGCATGAGGAGGCGGTATATAGGGGCCCATGGCAGATTAAGGGCCTGGCAGCAGCTATGGGAGGCCCGTAATCTGCCAGCACCCTATGTCAAAAAATTCTACACACCAGCAGTGTGTGAGGAGACCTGAAAGTGGCACATGGCAGAGTGTGGCGATGGAGACAGCAGCAATGGGAGGCCGTACAGGGACCCATGAGAGACTTTGGACTTGGCAGCAGCATGAGGAAGCGGTATATAGGGGCCCATGGCAGATTAGGGGCCTGGCAGCAGCTATGGGAGGCCCGTAATCTGCCAGCACCCTATGTCAAAAAATTCAATACACCAGCAGTGTGTGAGGAGACCTGAAAGTGGCACATGGCAGAGTGTGGCGATGGAGACAACCCACCGACTGTTTTGCTCGCTGCCAAGCTGCCACCCTCTTCTCCTGATGATGCGGAAGCAATAGCCTGATGACGACGAGGCTGCCAAGTGCGATCAGCCTCATCATCATCAATTAGGGTCTCCGCCTCACTACTAGCCCCCTCGGCTGCGTGTGGGTCAGGAGACAGACCTGTCTCTAGACCGGCTACCGAGCCACTCTCCTCGCCACTACTTCTTCGCCTGGCTGCTGAAGAGGCGGATGTCTCCCCCCGTTCCTGACCGCCCTCTGTTAGCTCTTCCTCACTGTACTGGATGACACCGGGAGCACTAGCCTCTGGCTGCGAATAGTGCTGCCTCGACCCCTTCCTCTGCTGCCACGTCTGCTCGCTCCTAAAACATTGCCTCCTCTGCCACTCCTCTGCATGTTGTCTGACATACTCTTTAATTAAACGATTCTGTGTCCCTGAGTAACAATTCTGTGGCCCTAAGTAACGGTTCTGTGGCCCTCAGTAACAGTTCTGTGTCCCTGAGTAACAATTCTGTGTCTGTGCGAGTAACAATTCTGTGGCCCTAAGTAACAGTTCTGTGGCCCTCAGTAACAATTATGTGTCCCTAAGTAATGGTTCTGTGGCCCTCAGTAACAATTCTGTGTCCCTGTGTAACAATTCTGTGTCTGTGCGAGTAACAATTCTGTGGCCCTAAGTAACAGTTCTGTGGCCCTCAGTAACAGTTCTGTGGTCCCTGAGTAACAATTCTGTGTCTGTGCGAGTGTATCAATTCTGTGGCCCTAAGTAACAGTTCTGTGGCCCTCAGTAACAGTTCTGTGTCCCTGAGTAACAATTCTGTGTCTGTGCGAGTAACAATTCTGTGGCCCTAAGTAACAGTTCTGTGGCCCTTAGTAACAATTCTGTGTCCCTGAGTAACAATTCTGTGGCCCTAAGTAACGGTTCTGTGGCCCTCAGTAACAATTCTGTGTCCCTGTGTAACAATTCTGTGTCTGTGCGAGTAACAATTCTGTGGCCCTAAGTAACAGTTCTGTGGCCCTCAGTAACAGTTCTGTGTCCCTGAGTAACAATTCTGTGTCTGTGCGAGTAACAATTCTGTGGCCCTAAGTAACAGTTCTGTGGCCCTCAGTAACAGTTCTGTGTCCCTGAGTACAATTCTGTGTCTGTGCGGAGTCAGTAACAATTCTGTGGCCCTAAGTAACAGTTCTGTTGCCCTCAGTAACAATTCTGTGGCCCTAAGTAACGGTTCTGTGGCCCTCAGTAACAATTCTGTGTCCCTGTGTAACAATTCTGTGTCTGTGCGAGTAACAATTCTGTGGCCCTAAGTAACAGTTCTGTGGCCCTCAGTAACAGTTCTGTGTCCCTGAGTAACAATTCTGTGTCTGTGCGAGTAAGAATTCTGTGTCTGTGCGAGTCAGTAACAATTCTGTGGCCCTAAGTAACGGTTCTGTGGCCCTCAGTAACAGTTCTGTGTCCTGTGTAACAATTCTGTGTCTGTGCGAGTAACAATTCTGTGGCCCTAAGTAACAGTTCTGTGGCCCTCAGTAACAATTCTGTGTCCCTGATTAAACGTTTCTGTGGCCCCAAGTAACAGTTCTGTGGCCCTCAGTAACAATTCTGTGTCTGTGCGAGTAAACAATTCTGTGTCTGTGCGAGTAAACAATTCTGTGGCCCTAACAGTTCTGTGGCCCTCAGTAACAATTCTGTGTCCCTGATTAACGTTTCTGTGGCCCCAAGTAACAGTTCTGTGGCCCTCAGTAACAATTCTGTGTCTGTGCGAGTAACAATTCTGTGTCTGTGCGAGTAACAATTCTGTGGCCCTAAGTAACAGTTCTGTGGCCCTCAGTAACAATTCTGTGTCCCTGATTAACGTTTCTGTGGCCCCAAGTAACAGTTCTGTGGCCCTCAGTAACAATTCTGTGTCTGTGCGAGTAACAATTCTGTGTCTGTGCGAGTAACACAATTCTGTGGCCCAGTAAGTAACAGTTCTGTGGCCCTCAGTAACAGTTCTGTGTCCCTGAGTAACAATTCTGTGGTGTGTTCTGTGTAAGTAACAATTCTGTGTCTGTGCGAGTAACAATTCTGTGGCCCTAAGTAACAGTTCTGTGGCCCTCAGTAACAGTTCTGTGTCCCTGAGTAACACAATTCTGTGTCTGTGCGAGTAACAATTCTGTGGCCCTAAGTAACAGTTCTGTGGCCCTCAGTAACAGTTCTGTGTCCCTGAGTAACAATTCTGTGTCTGTGCGAGTAACAATTCTGTGTCTGTGCGAGTAACAATTCTGTGTCTGTGCGAGTAAACAATTCTGTGTCTGTGCGAGTAACAATTCTGTGGCCCTAAGTAACGGTTCTGTGGCCCTCAGTAACAGTTCTGTGTCCCTGTGTAACAATTCTGTGTCTGTGCGAGTAACAATTCTGTGGCCCTAAGTAACAGTTCTGTGGCCCTCAGTAACAATTCTGTGTCTGTGCGAGTAACAATTCTGTGTCTGTGCGAGTAACAATTCTGTGGCCCTAAGTAAATTCAGTTCTGTGGCCCTCAGTAACAATTCTGTGTCTGTCCCTGAGTAACAATTCTGTGGCCCTAACTAAAGTTTCTGTGGCCCTAAGTAACAATTCTCTGGCACTCAGTAACAATTCTGTCTGTCCCTGAGTAACAATTCTGTGGCCCTAATAACGTTTCTGTGGCCCTAAGTAACAATTATCTGGCACTCAGTAACAATTCTGTCTGTCCCTGAGTAACAATTCTGTGGGCCCTAATAACGTTTCTGTGGCCCTAAGTAACAATTCTCTGGCACTCAGTAACAATTCTGTCTGTCCCTGAGTAACAATTCTGTGGCCCTAATAACGTTTCTGTGGCCCTAAGTAACAATTCTCTGGCACTCAGTAACAATTCTGTCTGTCCCCTGAGTATGAATTCTGTGTCCCTAACTAGCGTTTCTTTGTCCCTAAGTAACGATTCTGTGGCCCTAATTAACAAATCTGTGTCCCTGAGTAATAGTTCTCTGTCCCTAAGTATCGTTTCTCTGTCCCCAAGTATCGTTTCTGTGGCCCTAACTCTGTCCCTGTCCCTAATACAGAGCGGTCTGCCTCTGTTCAATGACTGCAGGCAAATGAAGAATTCCAAAATGGCCGCTATTTATAGCTCGACCATTACACAGTGCTAGCTGGCTGGCTGCTGATTGGCTGATGCGATCACATGTCGTTGAGGAATGCATTATGGGTCAGCGCGCCTTGTCTGCGCGCCTTCCCAGACATCCCCGCTCCGTCGCCGCACATGTCAGCCGCCATTTTCGGAAAAATTTCGATTCGCGCGTCCGAATTAGGCTATTTTTCGGATTCGGCGCGAATCGAAATTTTTCCGATATTCGACTCGAATTCCACTTCGGCTACTTCGATTCGCTCATCTCTAGTTATAAGCAATAACAGTGTAAAGAAATCCTGATCACCCACCCCAGAGTAGTACAATGTCATTGTGGTGACACTGAACTACTCTGATGACAGTATGTAAAACCAAATAGTAAACAAAAGAAAAACAATATAAAAATATGTAAATATAAAATGAAAACATAAAACAAATAAAAAAAAAAAACTATTTTTTTAAACATGTTTTTTAAACATGTTATTTGAAACAAAAAAATGACAACTTCAAAAAACCCGCCATGCCTCTGACTAAACACCTTGGAATGTCTACTTTCCAAAAAGGGATCAATTTTCAAATATACTGTATATACCATATTTTGTAGACATTCACACAGACTAAATACTAAATAATATACATTGATTTTGGTTATGTTTACCAAATAAATGTAGCATACTACATTTTGGCCTAAATTTATGAAGAAAGATTATTTGTTTACAAAATTCAATAACAGAAACTATGAAAAATGTGGGTTTTTAAACATTTGTGGTAGTTTTTTGCTTATATAGCAAAAAATAAAAAATCCAGTGATGATTAAATATATTCAATAGAAAGCTCCGTTTGTGTAAAAAAAAAATATAAATTTCATTTGGTTACAGTGTTGCATGACCGAGCAATTTTCAGCTGAAATAGCAAAGTACTGAATAAAATGAGAGATATGCACATTAGGATGGCTGCAGCAGAAAGAACTTTGGAAAAGCCTTCTATTTATTATGAAAAGTGACATTCTGCTCGAAAAGGTGAACTTAGCCTTTAACCACTTCAATACCGGGCACTTATACCCCCTTCCTGCCCAGGCCAATTTTCAGCTTTCAGTGCTCTCACACTTTGAATGACAATTGCACAGTCATGCAACACTGTACCCATATGAAATTTTTATACATTTTTTACACAAATTGAGATTCCTTTTGGTGGTATTTAATCACCACTGAGTTTTTTATTTTTTGCTAATTAAAACAAAAAACAACTGAAAAGTTTGAAAAAAATGCACTTTTCTTCGTTTCTGTTATAGAATTTTGCAAATAAACAACATTTCTTCATAAATTTAGGTCAAAATGTATTCTGCTAGATTTCTTTGGTGAAAATAATAAAAAAAAATAATTTAATTTGTATTTTTTTTCAAATGTTTCTATTTTTCTATTTTTTATTACATTATTTTTTCTTTTTTTTTTTACTATTTTTTTTTCAACACACTGTGACCAAAGCAATACAATGTTACCAAAGTAACATTGAACTACTCTGGGCAAGTGATCAGGATTTTTCTTTTTTTTTGTAACACAGTATGATTGCTAATACCAATGTATTTCATTGATACTTGCAATCGTTACTGAATGAAACTGATCCATTCAGTCTTTTGTTGTGATTAGCTGTGATTGGGCAAAGCTGATCACATGATGCAGGTGGGCTGTGAATGGCCCAGTCTGTATCATGTGACTGCTTTGACCAATCACAGTTAACGCAATTGTATACAATGGATGGCATGGCAGGAAGCCATCCATTGTATACAATTGACATGTGATCTGCTGTGATTGGTCACAGCGGTCACATGACACTGGCAACGGGCCGCTGTAGTGAAATGTCATTGGCTGTGTCCCATGGAT